ACTGAGGCCCAAGTGGTAGAGCGCTAGCCTTGAGCAAAAGAAGCTCAGGGACAGGGCCCAGGTCCAGGACGGGGCGGGGGGGGAGGAATTTGGGGGGCGGGGGGGGGGGGAGTGCTGGCTGACGTCTGTAATCCCAGGTACTTTGGAGGCTGAGAGTTGAAAATTGCAATTCTAAGTTAGCCCAAAGCTAGCCCAGGCAGGAAAGTCTATGAGACTTTAATTGCCAATTAACAACCAAAAGGCCAGAAATGGAGCCTGTGGCTCAAGTGGTAGAGCATCAGCAAAAAAGCTCAGAGATAATGCCCAGGCCCTGAGTTCAAGCCCCAGAGCCAGCACAAAAAAGAAAAATCTTTACCTAGACTCTGAGTTCAGACTTCAGCATCACACACACACGCACACCCACCCACACACACACCCCAGCATTAGGTGGGGGGAGGAGACAAGCCCCCAGAGTGGCAGCAGCCGGTGAGGAGACCCCAACAGACACCCAGTGACTTGAAATGCAGGGCAGAGGACGCTCGGACTGGAGGCCGGCCCAGCCCTGCCCGGTGCGGCCCAGGACATGTGCTGCCTTCTCCTCTCAGATGCCGCACACCTGGCAGCTCTGTGCACGCTGGCTGTGCCAGCATCCCCGACCTCTGCCCTTCTTGTAGGTGTCCCCTCTTACAAGGACCCTTGTCACTGGATCTGGAACCTATGACAGGATAATTTTCTAGTCATCAGTAAATCACTGCCACCCACAGCCAAGAAGCTGGGCATTCAACTCAGGGCTGGTGTCCCGAGGTGGAGCCGGACGGTGGGGTCACTAGCTATGCTTAGCAAAGGCTCGGTGGTCTGAGCTCAACACCCCTGGGCAGGCCAGGGGGCAAATTTCCCCCCAGAGTTAGTCCCTTCTTGAAGCAAGCTGCTGGCCTTTCCAAGCTCCTGTCCTGCGGAGCTCTGCCCACATTCTGAGCCACAGGTCCCATGAGCATGATGAATGGAGGCTGGTCCCCGGAGTTTGGGGAAGGATGTTATGTTTCCATGGTAACAGCAAGGTCCTTCCCCCCCCCCCCCCCCCCGGGAGGAGGGTGGAGGTTTGAAGCCAGCCCTGCTGACAAGTCCAAGAGATTCCTCCAATTAACAAGTAAAACAACCATAAGTGGAGCTGCGGCTCAAGTGGCTGTTAGCCTTGAGTGAAAAAGCTAAGGTAAAGTGCAAAGCCCTGAGTTCAAGCCCCACGACCAGCATACACACACGCACACATGCGCGTGCACACCAGAAGACTGGCTGCTGTGGCTCAAGTGGTAAGTACTCACCTTGAGCTGAAGAGCTGAGGGACAGCGCCCAGGCCCAGAGTTCAAGACCCAGGACAAGCCAAAAAAACCACAAAAACTTTTTATACTTTTAAAGACAGCATAAAAATAATGAAAACACAAAAAGGAGGAGGAGAGGAAGAGAAGGAGAAAGAAAAAGAAGAGAAGGATCAGGAAGAGGAGGAGGAAAAAGAGGAAGATGAAGAGGAGAGGGAAAGAAGGCAGGCAGGCAGGCAGGCAGGCCAAGCCTGGGAGGTATCCATCATTTATCCCACACAGAACAGCCTCCACGCAGACTAGAGACAGCTAGAATCTCAAATCCCAATGACAACCAACACTGTAACACCAGGCAAAGGCGGGTGGCCTCAGTGGTACGCAGCATTTCCCCAGCACGTGCAGGGCCCTGGGTCTGATTTCCAGCACAAAACAAAACCACCAGCGGGGTCACGCCTGTAATCCTAACTCCTCGGGAGGCTGAGATCTGAAGACCAAGGTTTCAAAGCCAGCCTAGGCAGAAAAATTGTCAAGACGCCATCTCCAATTAGCTAGCACAAAAGCACTGCCGGAGACATGGCTCAAGTGGTAGCACACCAGCTGTGAGCAAAAGAGCTGAGTGAGCGTGAGCGTGAAGCTCTGAGCTGAAGGTAAACGGTGTGGATGAACTCGTTACTGACAGAGACTCGGACTGTCTTACCTGCACGTGCACAGGCGTCCCTGTCAGACGAGGAAACGCAAGGGACACTCCGTCCGCCAAGACATCCCCACCCACCAGCACTCCACCCTCACGGAGAGAAACGTGCCGAGTGTCACCCACGGCGGGCACGAAGGCAAACCGTACGGGAGACAACCAGAATTCTCCACGCGACCCAACAACTCCCTAAGAACTACACAAGCAAACCAAGAACTTCAGCTAGGGGCCGGTGGCTCACGCCTCTAATCCTAGCTACGCAGGAGGCTGAGGAGGCTGAGATCAAAGCCAGCCTGGGCAGGAAAGTCTGTGAGACTCCAATAAACCACTAGAAAACTGAAAGTGGCACTGTGGATCAAGCGGTAGAGCACTCGCCTTGAGCTGAAGAGCGCAGGGACAGCGCCCAGGCCCAGAGTTCAAGCCCCATGATCAACAGAAAAAAAAAAAAGAGAACATTTTCACAAAGACCTGAACACCAACATTCTCACAGCCCTAGCTCCTGCCAGCCCCCGGGGGAGCAAGGCACTGGCCACTGCCGGGCAAGCGCAACCCAGCGCCTGGCCAACCCAGACACAACCAACCACATGCTCATGTTTCCAGGACAGATCACAAGACGCCCAGGGGTCCTGGGCCAGCGGATGTGGGGATTACCCTGGGGATTGCTTTGGGGGCGATGTGTTTGAAGTGACAGTAACTACACCTCAGCAGACTACAGGGCCATCCCCGAGCACCCGGGGACGGCAGGACCGCTGCTCCTTTGATGAGGAAAGGCAAGCAGCTGGCCAAAACCAGGGGAGAAGCTGCAGGCGGCCTTCAGCAGCCCCTGAAGCGGGTCCTGGGCAGTGGGGATGGCCAAGCTGCTGTCCGCCCGCCCGCGAAGCCCGCTTGCTGCTCGCTCCTCTCTTCCTCCAGCAATAAGTTTCCACACCAAATAAGGCTGCAGCTTTTGCCCAACTCCTGGCACAGACCAAAATTCCTGCTAAATGCCAAGACTGTAACTTGGGCCCAAAGCTTCCCAGAGCAGCCGGTGCCCAGCACCCCCCTCGGGCCATCTGTCCCTCTGGGTAGCGCCCCAAACAAAGCAGGGTAAACAGAACCCAGGGCCGGCCGCCCTGCAGGGTGGGCTGTGTCACTTGAAAGCAAGCCAGGCGCTCACACAGGGGTGGCTGAGTGGCTCCTGGGGCCCTGACTGCTGACACCCCAATCCTGGGGTCCCTTTCAGAAGAGCGGCAGTCTGCCCTCTGGCCGGGGAGACATTTGGCCTCGGCGGATCTTCTACTCTGGACTAACGTGTCCAGCCACGGCGGAGGGCGCTGCTAGTCTGTCTTTTCCAGACGCAGGCACGGGCATTTCCCCACCCAGGTGTCTCTAGCAGGAGAAATGGACACCTACGGTTGCCAACTCCGACTCTGCCATGTCACCACGAGTGCCCGAGAGCTAGGGGAGGCGCCATGTGGGGACACGGGGAAGGCGGGCAGGGTGGCTCCCCGGGCATCCCACCATGGCTGCCTGGCACAGCTGGCAAGGTACGGGCTTTCCAGACAGGCAAACAAGAGATCGTGAAGCCACGCGCTCGTGGGGGGTCGTGCCGGACCCCAGCTGCCAATTCTGGAGGCGTCTCCCGCAGCCATGCTGGCTCCCTTCCTCCCTGGAAATCCTCCTGGCCACCGGGAGGAGCCAGAGCCAGAGCCGGAGCCGGGAGACAGCCTTCGGCCCTGCTTCCAAACACACCGAAGCCGCAGAGGTGGCGCAAGGCCGCGCCTGCAAAACCCTTTGGCTGCAAGTAGCAGACCGGCGACACCATTGATCAAGCCAAGGAAATTAAGAGGAAAATTAAAATAAGGGTGGGGGTTTTCTAGCTCGGAACTGTGGGAAGGCTGGGGGAGGGAGCTGGGATGGCTGAATCCAGTCAGCACACACTTCCCCACTGACGCTGTCAGGTGCTGCTGCCTTCCTCTCCTCCAGCAGTCAGGCCTTCTCCAGGAGGGGAAGGGCAGCGGGGAAGGGCCAGCGCCCACGCTGACCCCAGGGCAGAGCTCTGACTGGCAAAGCGGACTCCAGCCTGCGCTGGGTCTGACCCTGTAGGAGCCAGGGGAGGTCCAAGGCTGCAGCTGACCACCCAGAATCAGGAGACAGCCTGGGCCCCAGGTCCTGCAGCCCCCCCCCCCCCGCCCCCCACGGAACCACCGCTGCACCCCATGCTCTGGTGCACCTCAGTACCTATGGCCAGGTCCCCGTCCCTTCCCTGTCCCAAACAACTCAGCTCCAAAGCTACCCAGGGGCAGGGAGGAAGGGCCAGGGGCTGGGGGAAGGGCTGGGAAGGGCAGTCGGGGGCAGGGGCAGGAGGACAGGCTCCTGGGGGAGCTGAGGCCAAAATCAGGGACTCTCAGCCGGGTGCTGACAACTCACAGCTGTGATCCTGGGGAGGCTGAGGTTAGAGGATCATGGCTCAAAGCCAGCCCAGGTATGAAAGTGTGCGAGACTCCTCTTATCTCCAATTAATCACCAAAAAGCCAGAAATGGCACTGTGGCTCAAATGGCAGAACAGCAGCGTTGGGTAAAGTAAGGCTCAGGAACGGCACCCAGACCCTGAGTTCAAGTCCCAGGACTAGCACAAAAAAAAAAAAACGTGTAGCATTTAAGGAGAGCAAGGAGGGTTGGAGGAGGGCCTGCAGTGGGTGTGGGGAGAGGGGCTTTGGGGGTGCAGGGGAAGCCCACCCTCCTCTTCTCCTCGGAGGCCCCTGAAGAATGTCTCCCGCAGGCGGTGCCTCCCGAGTCCTGGCCCACAGTGTTCAAGCCTCCACTCCTCCCGACAGGACTAGAGTGGCCCAGCAGCGGCCCTGCACACCCAACCAGCAGCCTGTCGAGAGTCACCTGCACCAACACCCACCATGCACGAGGCCGCAGTCTGCCGTTCTGCGTGGCAGCCATGCCACCCAACAACGTGTGAGCGGAGGGAAAGAGCACACAGCGGACCCGGGCACGGTGGGCGTGTGTTCACACTTCATTTCCAAATAACTTATTTCCTTGAGGTTCTCTTAAATAAACTTTGGAGGTCCGGCTCTGTGGGTGATGTGTGGCTCTGGTGGCTCTCTGGCATCCTGGCCTCGGCACAGAGGCCAGCCCTGGCCGGACAGCCGGCTACAGCAGTGCGGGGCCACAGCAGCCCGGGGCCACAGCGGCGCGGGGCTGGTGCTCCTGGTCTTGCATCCTCAGCGTTGGGTGGTCACTCTGGCAGTGAGAGGTCAGGCATGGCTCCAAGGGAACTTGGCCAGTACTGGGAAGGACCCAGGACTGGACACACAGTCCCCCATGGCCACAGACCCCAGCGCCCGCGCTGCCCACATCTGGGCCGGGGGCTGGCTGCAGGCGCTGCCCTGGGCCGTGGCCCTCCGGGGCACACGCCGGCTCACGTCCCCCTGTCCTTCTCCTTCTTCTTACTGGTCCTCTGGCCGCTGAGCTCGCCCAGCCTCAGGTCCAGCCTTCGCTGCAGCTGGGCCCTCCTGGCGGGGTCCAGGGGCCTGTCCCTGGCCCCGCTGCCTGCACTGGGGACCCCTTCCCGGCGGAGTTTCTGGCGGGCGTGTGCGCGGGCCTTCTCGCCGCAGCCGTGGACCTGTGGAGGACACGAGTCAGGGCAGGACACGGGGGAGAGGACAAGGATCAGGCGTCAAAAGGATGTGGAGCTGGGAGCCAGTGCAGGTCCGGAGACAGGACCTTCCTCCCCGCGTCCATCTTTCCCCGGCAGGATCCCAGGGGGAACAGGGCTCGAGCCTCTGTTGAGTAGGAGAGGGAGTAACCCCACTGACCACGCCGGCCTGGGGCTCTTTCCGGTACCTGGGGCCCTAGCCTCTCCAGGCTGGAGCAGGGTGAAGTCACAACCCTCCCTAGCCCCCAGCTCTCCCACCGCATCCAGGGTCCAAGTGCCTAAAGGGCGGCCTGCCCTCAGCCGTCACCCGAGGCCCCTGGTCTTCCCCTCCACCCGTGGGGTCTCAGTGCCGACTGCCATGCCATACAGGCCTGCCGCTGCTCATACAGGCCTGCCGCTGCTCATACAGGCCTGCCGCTGCTCATACAGGCCTGCCGCTGCTCATACAGGCCTGCCGCTGCTCATACAGGCCTGCCGCTGCTCATACAGGCCTGCCGCTGCTCATACAGGCCTGCCGCTGCTCTCCTGGCTCCCAGGCACCCCCTCCTTGGCATCCCCACTGTCCCCCACCAGGCCAAGATTCCCTCACACAGAGACACCCGTTCCAGCCCCAGTTCCACAAAGACCTGTGAGCCTGGCCACAGGGGATGGAGCTCCCCTCGATTGTCCACCGGAGGAACGAACGAGAAAGCCGCCCGCTGCCATCTCCGCGCAAGTGTCTCAGACACTCGCGGGCCGCCTGCAGCGATGCCCTGCCCCAAACTCCCTCTCAGACACTCGCGGGCTGCCTGAAGCAATGCCCTGCCCCAAACTCCTCTGGCACGGCTGTCCCTCGGCCACTGCCAGCTGCCCCACCCGAAGCGGCTCCGCCGGTTCCCTCCGGTCACCCACCTCGGGCAGGTGGTGGCTGAGGCAGTAGCGGTGGCCGCAGAGCTGGCAGAGCTGGCCCAGGGTCACGATGCTGGCCGCGCACTTGGCGAAGCTGCAGGTGTTGTCGGCCTTGGTCACGGCCGACAGCAGGGCGTCAAGATCCTCCTCGGCGGGCAGAGCGGAGGCCGCGGGTCCTGGGGAGAAGCGTCAGGCATGGTGTGCAGGACCAGGGCGCTTCTGCCGGGCACCAGGCTGTGTCCCCGCTGTGAGCATGCCCAGCTCCTGTCCCAGGCTGCCCAGAGCACCCCAATGCGCTCCCCATGGAACTCACGGCTCCCCCAGGCTGCCAGAGCCCTTTTCACCCTAATCCACAGCAAGCCAAGCAAGCGAGGGCTGCCCACGGCGTGGCCGGCACCAAGGGCAGAGCGCAAAGAGAGGGCACAAGAGGGCCTCTGGCAGTGCATCCTCTCCACCCAGAAGCCCCCCGCCCCGAGGGGGTGACACCAGCAGCCCCAATATGGGGCAGATCCCCTGACGGCCAGGTCCTAGCAACCTCAAAGCCCAGAAAGTACAGCTTCTTCCAGGAGACAAGGTCCTGTGGTCACCAGCCGGAGCCGGTGCAGCTGCTCGGTAAGCGTCTGAACCCATGGAGAACACCCAAGTGCTCTGCTCAGGGTCACCAAATGCCCCTGCGCCCCGCTTCCGCGGCCCTGACCACGGGAGCCCCACAATGGCAGAGACTGGGCGGTGAAGACCCCAGCAAGGGGACACAGTGGGCAGAACTCAGGACCGAGCTACCCTGGGGCTGGCACAGCCTTCCACGAGAGTGGCAGGCAGCGGCCCAGAGCCCGGGCCCAAGGCAGCTGCCACTGGTGTGGCCCAGGCCCTGCCAGGTCCGGGACTGCGGTGTGGGAGCCGTGGCTGCCCCGTCCCCAGGGGATGGCCAAAGGACCAGGGAGAAGCCTCTGGGGAGAAGCGCCCCCTGAGCGGGGCTCTGAGCAGGAGATGATGGGTGTGCGCACGCGCACGGGGGCTGCGGGTGGCACTGACGCCACTCACCCTTTGCTTCCCTCGTCTTCTTCTTCTTGTTCTGGGGCAGCTTCTGGGGCTTCTTGTCTGGCTGCTCCTTGTCTGGCTGCTCCTTCTTGTCTGGCTGCTGCTTGTCTGGCTTCTCCTTCTTGTCTGGCTGTCGCTTGTCTGGCTTCTCCTTCTTGTCTGGCTGCTCCTTCTTGTCTGGCTGCTGCTTGTCTGGCTTCTCCTTCTTGTCTGGCTGCTGTTCCTTGGCTGGCTGGTCCTGTCTGCCCTGCTCCCCCCGGGGCTCGCCCACGGGCACTGGGGTGGGGGCTGGGGCGCCCCTCTTGCTCACGGTGACGTACCGCGCCGCCCCCTCCCCAGCGCTGTCATGGCACAGCCCCAGCTCCTCGGCGATCTGGTGGACGCGCAGCCTGTCATGGGAGCTGAGGGATGTGGGGAACTGCAACTGCGTCTCCTTGCTGTCCAGGAACTCTGTGATCTTGGCCCGCAGGTGCTCCGTGCCACCCGGGCGCCCCCCGTCGCTGCGTGGCTGCGGGGGCCTCGTGCGGGGCTTCCTGGGCTCCCCCTGGGGCACGGCCTTGGCCTCCGGGCCGCGCGGGGCCTGCGTACTCGCAGGCATGCTGAGGAACGCAGGGCCCCGGGGCCGGGCAGCGGCTCGGCGGGGACCCTGGGAGCCCTCGTGGGCATAGTTCTCAGGGATGATGTCCTCCAGGTACTCGAAGGCGGTGCGCACTTCCCCGTGCTCTGTGAAATACTCCACCAGTGTCTTTAGAAAAGCGTGGTTGTTCACGGTGCGGGAGTCACAGACAATCGCCACATGGCGCCGTGCACGGGTGACCGCGACATTGATCCGCCGGTCCTCAGCCAGAAAACCAACTTCGCCTAGCAAAGGGCCAGGGGTCAGAGACCAAGAAGCTGGACGGGCGGCCAGGGACGGCCTGGGCACTGTGCAGCCTGGGAGCCTGTACCCACCCCCCACGGGCGGAGCTTCCCCCGCGGCGGCGCTCACTGGGAAGACACAGCCTCCTTCCACCGTGCCGTCCTGTCCAGCCTCTCCTGAGCGTGCACACGCCCACCAACAAAAACTTTCTACACACAATGTTCCTTGTGTGTGCACGCATGCTTGTGCGTGTGTGCGTGCCAATGCTGGGACTTGAACTCAGGGCCTCATGCTCTCGCTTGGCTTTTTCCCTCGAGGCTGGGGCTTTATCATTCAGGCCACACCTCCAGTATTGGTTTTTAGCTGGCTCACAGAGTCCTGAGTAGCTGGTATTATGGGGATCAGACAACAAACCAGCAGCACGGAAACCACACACACCCTGAGGCCCACAGACAAGCACCAGGCTCTCAAGGGGCTCCATCTTCTTCAGGAGACATCCAGACCTTTCCCACCCTCCCTACACCCCCAGCTCAACCACCTGCTTCCTGTACCATGGAGCCTCCACTCCCTGGGATACCACGCCCCTCTGCTCCCCACTGTCCCCTCCGTGCCCCCGTCCACGGGTGACAAGAGCTTATTCTGGGTCGCTCTACTTGAGCACTCAGTCCAGGACACCTCGTGCCTGCCCAGGCCCTGCTGGCCCCTGGTGGGTGGGCAGAGCCCTCGCTACTGCCCTCCCCTCAGGCGAGGACAATGCTGGGCTCGGCCACTGCAGCCCAGGACAGGCAGGACCCACCTCACCCGGAACCGGCTGCCTCCCTGCCGCCTGTCCCCAACGGGCCCTTGGGGCTTCCTACCTCTCCGGTTGGACCTGACGAAGGAGAGGATCACAGCCTCCTTCTCTCGGCCCTGGAAGCCGTCCACGGACTTGATTTCCAGCTCGGGGTACTGGTGCGCCAGGCTCTGTCGGAGCAGCTCCACCTGAGATGGGAAGGCCACGGTGCATCACTGCACGCCCGGCCTCACCCGGGACCTCGGCACCTGATCCACCCTGCCTCAGGCACCATGCAAGCTGCTGTCCGTGCCAGGATGAGGCCGCTGCTCCCATAGCCCCCTCCCTGCCTGGGGGAATAGAGACATAGACAGAAGGGGGCCCTTTGTACCTGAAGGTTGTAGGGCGCGATGACAGCGATGTCTCCTGCGTGGACACCAGCGGCCACCAGAGCCTGGATGTGCAAAGTGACAAGGCGGACTTCGCCTGGAGGGAGAGAGCGGGCTTCAGCAGAGGACGCGCTCTGCGGGCCGCCGGGACGTCCTGGCTGACCTGTGCCGGCCTGAGGCAGGGGCATGCTGGGAGCTGAGCCCGCGCCAGGGACTCCACTCTCACAAACGAGCCACTGCATTCCACCCGCGCGGTGATGCCCAGCAGCCCTGATGTGCCATGGAGGCAGTGCCAATGGCTGCACGGTCTCACCGCCAGCCCGTCATCCCAGCTACTCGGTGGCTGAGATCTGAGGATGGCGGTAGAAAGCCTGCCCCGGCAAGAAAGTGTGACTCGTATCTCCAAGTAATCACAGAAAAAGCTGCAGGTGGCACTATAGTTCAAGGGGCTGAGTGCTAGCTTTGGGGAAAAGGATCTTGGGGGCAATGCCCAGGCCGAGGGCTCAAGCCTTAGGACTGGCAAAAAAAAAAAAGCTCACGGACAGCACCCAGGCTGAATTCAAGCACCAGGACTAGCCCAGGTGTGCACCCACGCAAGCGCGTGCACACACACACCCCTCACTGGCACCAGGCCAGACTCAGGCCCTTTGAGAGTACACAATGCTGACAGTCCTCGATGGGCTTCTTTGGGGCCCTTGGGCCATTTCCTGCCCACGAGTGCCCATCCTCAACCTTCCACGGCAGCTCGTCAGCGCTTGCTCTCTTCCGCCCTCCCCTTGCGCCTCCCTGGGCTGGCGGACCTTGGCACCCTATTTTGAGAGTAGGACACTCGGGCTGGGGAGCTCACCTGGGTTCCCCCTGGACTGGTTGTCATCTTCCTCCAGTTCAAATAGGCCACAGCCGGCCGTGTCCACGAGCAGCAGGGGGATGCTGGTCTCCTCCGTGTCAGCCACGCCGGGGAGGTCCCTGGCACGCAGGCGGACAGAGGGCAGCACTGAACTCCTACACAACGGCACTTGCCCTTCCCGTCACAACATCGGAGGGGCCGGGACGGGTGTGGTAGCACAGCCTATAGTTCCAGTACTGGGGAAGCTGAGACAGGACAATCAAGAATTCTAGGCCAGCCTGGGTGTGTCATAAGGAGACTTTGTCTCAAAAGACCAAATCAGAAAGGAAAAGAGAACGGACAGGCTACCTGCTGCCCGGTTCCCTCACCCAGGACACCGCTGCTCAGAGGAGGGGAGGCCGGGGCAGGCCGGGGCTCCTCACCCAGGACACCACTGCTCAGAGGAGGGGAGGTCGGGGCAGGCCGGGGCCACAGGCCACTCACCTCAGGAGATGTCCCGCCACGGAGGAGTGGGCTGTGAGCTGCCCATGGTACATGGCCTCGGAGGCCCAGCGCATGATGGCCTGGTGCATGCGGTACTGCACCGTGAGCATCCGCACCACATCGGGGCCACGCTCCTGGGCCAGGCGCTCCATCAAGCTGAGCGACAGCCCCGCCAGCGCTGCCCTGCACGGGGAACAGGAGGAGCGTCCAGGTCGCAGTGTGCATGTGACACGGGGTGAGTGGGGAAAGCTGTCTGCAAGCCTGATTCAGTGTACCTGGGTCACCTGTACCCTGATCACCGAGGCCCTGCCCCTCACGTGACCAAGAGGACCCAAGACCCCGCCCCCCAACCACAGGGACCAAATGAGAGGTGGGGTCGGAGTAGGAGGAGCCCCTGAGAGAAGACTTGAGGGAGGTTGGCTGCTGGCTTGGAGGAGGGGGAAGAAGCTGAGAGCCAACATATAATGCAGTGACCTCCAAGACCTGGAAAGTACCAGGAAGCAGATTCCCCTCCGCAGCCTGACTGCACACTGTGCTTCCCGTCCGTGTGGTCTGAAGCAGTAACACACCACAAACACCATGCTGACTGGGAAGTTTGTAAGGACGATTTCAGCCGGGTGCTGGTGGCTCACGCCTATAATCCTAGCTAGTCAGGAGGGAGGGGGAAGGGAGGACTGTGGATCAAAGCCGTCGCAGGCAGCAAAGTCCGTGAGACTTATCTCCAATTAACCAGCAAAAAAATCCAGAGCTGCAGTTTAAATGGTTGAGGGCAAGGAAAGCTAAGAAACTGTGTTCAAGAAGCCTAATGTCAGCATGCACGTACACGAGTGAATGAATGAATGAATGGGGGAACCTCTCACACGTGGTAGCGGTGAGCAGCCCGTAGTGGCTGACGGCCACGCATACGCACCACTGGCACAGGCAGTACTCCCAGCCTCACGCCAGCCTCCCCTCGGCGGCCTAACGACTCCTCCGCCACACACAACGAAGGAGGAGGCCCCACCAGGCCCGTGGGGCGCAGCGTCTCCTGCATCCGTCTTCTATCCAGGGTCCCCACTGATGGCACTGCACAGCCCGCGCCAGCTGAGCTACGTGGCCGAGGTGGCTCTCACAGAGCCACCGTCATACTTGTGGCCTTGTCGGGGGACGTGGTACATGAGGCACCAGGGACGCCCAGGGCACCAGCCTGGGCCCTGGAGCACAGGCGGGGCGGATGGGGAGGAGAAGCTCTGCAGGCGGGGCCTTACTTGTGAGAGGCCGTGGTGGGCGGCAGCTGCCTGTGGTCTCCGGCCAGGATGCACCTCCTGGCCTTCAGCAGAGGGATCCAGCAGCTGGCCTCCAGGGCCTGGGCACACTCGTCAATGACCACCACGTCAAAGTGGCCCTCGGGCAGCAGCTTCAGGGGGCCGTCGGGAGAGGCACCTGGTCGGAGAGGAAACAGGAGTGCAGGCGCCAGCTGCAATCACGCCAACAGAACGTGATACTCAGCGGCTCCCCGAACGCCTGCACTAATGCTGTGTGCAGTCAGCACTGGGGCAGACACCAGCGCGTTCGGGTCCCGGAGCTGATACAGACCTGGAGGGAACCCTATGTACAGTCAACGGACAGACACTACGCCCTGACAGAGGGGGGACGGAGGGAGGAGGCAGCAACCAGCAGTCCCCCCCACCCTGATCCCACAGATTCGCACAGAGCATACTAGTGCCAGACACAGGTTCTCGTCAGCTGTCCCAGACTTTCACAAGAGCCCCCGAGTTCCAGACTAGGGAAAGAGCACCCACTGGACATCGAGACTTGCTCAGAACCACACAGAACTAAATTAAAAGCATCAGAAAGACATCTGGGGGCTGGGAAGGTGGCTCAGTAGTAGAGTGCTTGCCTTGCATGCATGAGGCCCTGGGTTCGATTCCTCAGCACCACATAAGCAGAAAAAGCTGGAAGTGGTGCTGTGGCTCAAGTGGTAGAGCGCTAGCCCTTGAGCTGAAGAGGTGAGGGACAGTGCCCAGACCCAGAGTTCAGGCCCCACGACCAGCAAAAAAAAAATTAAAAAAAAAAAAAAAAAGACATCTGGGAAGCCTGATGCTGGTGGCTCACATCTGTAACCCTCCCTACTCAGGAGGCTAAGATCTGAGGATCATGGTTCAAAGCCAGCCCAGAAAGTGAAGTCTGTGAGACTCTTATCTCCAACTAACCACTCAGAAACCAGAAGTGGAAGCTGTGGCTCAAAGTGGTAGATTGCTAACCTTTGAATGAGAGCTCAAGGACAGCACCAGGACCTGAATTCAAGACCCAGGAACAACAACAAAAAAAGGAAGACATCTGGGAAATCTTCAACTACTTGGAAACTATGACACACTTCTCAACCAACATAGGTGAAAAAAAGAAGCCAAGATTTCAGGAGGAGGAAAAGCAAAGTTGTCAGGAAATGAATGACAATGAAAACACAGTATTTTAGACTAAGAGACAAGGATTGGAATACAATCCCTCATGAGCAAGAACTCAGTTTCGGCCTCACTAAACCAGCCTGGGCAAGCGAGACCCAGCCCAGAGAAACAGCGAATAGCAGAGACAGGGTCAGATCCAGGGAGACAGAAAACAGGAAAGTCAGAGCTGGTCCTCAGCAGAGCCGGAGGAAGAACATAAAAACCAGATGAGCAAAACAAAGAGGCCAGGCCACTGGGGCATCTGCAGGGAGCAAGGGAATGTTCTGGACAACACTCCTCTAAATTTGAGGGTTTATATTAAACCAACAACTTCTTGAGAGAAACAAACCCAAATAGCCTGATGTTTGTCAAAGAAAGGAAATCTGAAGCCAGGCGCCAGCCAGTGGTTCACACCTTGTCATCCTAGCTGAGATCTGAAGATCATAGTTCAAAGCCAGCCTGGGCAGCAAAGTCTGTGAGGCTCTTTTTTTTTTTTTTTTAAATCAACATCTTACACTTTATAATACACTCACATTTATACACAGATTTTGTGTTGTGAGACTTATCTCCAAGTAACCACCAGAAAACCGGAAGTGGCGCTATGGCTCCAAGTAGTAGAGTGCTAGCCTTGAGCAAGAGAGCTCAGAGAAGTGCCCAGGCCCTGAGAAATCTGGAGTTACAGCCTCGCCTCACGACAGGGAAAACTGCAGGTGGGGACAGCTTCCCTGGGAGCCGCCTCCCGGCTGGGCCCCCCCCCTCCCCCCGCAGGCCGGTCGCTCACCCGTGTTGGTTGCCAGCACCACGTCAGCCGCTGCGAGGCCTTCCACCATGGCCGCTTCTTCCCTTTCCTTCAGCTCTTTTCTTAGTAACTTCATTTCATTGCGGAAATTACTTTTCTCTCTCTTATCATGTGCCTTTTTGTTTTTCAGCTGTAATGATGAAGAAAATACATTCATTTCAACAGGACCTTGTGCTCTTACTTTTTGGGGGTTACTGGGGCTTGAACTCAGGGCCTGGGTGCTGTCCCTAGACTTTTTCACTCAAGGCTAGCACTCTACCATTTAAGCCACAGCACCTTTTTAGTCGTTAATTGCAGGTAAGTCTCCTGGACATTCTTGCCTGGGCTGGTTTTGAACTGCGATCCTCAGATGTCAGCATCTTGAGCAGTTGGGGTTACAGACGCCCAATTCCCCAATTTACTTTGACACCTCAAGACGCCCACAGCCCAGTCCTTACTTGTCTGTTTTGCGGACTAGAGCTTGGCAGCGGGGAGAGAAGGCGGTTCGGCGTCTAATTCACAGAGAACCAGTCCTGACAAGAGGGACTTACACACAAACAAGAAAACAGAGCAGTGCACATGAATGGAATCATGGCCGGCTCCACACCTAGACGGCAACCTTGATGCCGAGCAACCCACCCACAGGACCCAGAGCGGGCTGTCTGCTCAGGCCGGCCTCTGCTCACGGGACTGCCTAGACTCCCGCCCCTCTTCCTCTGCCTCAGCAAGGCCAAGGAGGATGCACATCTGGGCAGCGGGACAACGGCCAAGGGCAGACGCAGGCCGGGTCATTGTAAAAGTGGACGAGAGGGCAGACACACAAACCCGAGGACCACCGCCTGACCCTGAACCTCCCACCCGCTCTGTGGGAGCAGGGGAGGACAGAAAGACTCGGGAAGAGGCTGGATTTGCAAATCTGTATTTTCAGGCTATTCTTCTACCGTGCCAGTATCAGCTAGACCACACGCCTGGCTACAGGAGACACCTGGAAAATGTTTTCTGTAAGACAATTTGTTATCTACCCTCAAGTACCTGAGCACCTGAATTCCCACTAAACGAGCATCTCAAATGAGAAGTCCACACCAGGGTGCAAGCCTACAGCCCAGCTATGCAGGAGGCAGAGGAACAGCCTGGGAAGGCTAGAAAAGGCCCTTTCCCACAGACAAAACACAGCCAGGCACCAAATCCCAGCTACTCAGGAGGCTAAGATCCGAGGATCATGGTTCAAAGCCAGCCCACACAGGAAAGTCTTGGTAAGACCCTTACCTCTAATTTACTACCAGAAAACCAGAAGTGGTGCTGTGGTTCAAAGTGATAGAGTACTAGCCTTGAGCAAAAAGAGCTCAGGGACAGCACCCAGGTCCTGAGTTCAAACCCCATGACTGACAAAAAGGAGGAAAAAAAAAACACACTCAAATCCCGCTACCACAAAAAGCAAAGGGGGTGAGGGGCTAGAGGTGTGATTCAAGTGGTAGCATCTGCTTAGCACAGACAAGGACCTGGTTCAATCCCAACACCTAAAATAAAAGATGCAAAACAAAACAAGACCAAATAAAACAGCCATCCAAAAACAGGAAGAGAAGTCCAACTTTTCGATTCCTGACCGAGCGGACAGAGGGGACAGGAGCGTGAGGGGCAGGGCAGCGGGTGCTCCTGAGGCCCCCGGGCGACACCCGCGTACGTACGAAGATCTGGTCCATGTCCCTCCTGATGTCGGCGACAACCTGGGCACTGTCACTGCGCGCCAGCACGGCGTCCAGACAGTGCTGCTGCACGGACTCCAGCAGGCGGGCGGGGTGGCCGAGGCGCAGGACACGCAGCCTGCGGCCGGCCAGCCTCTCCACCAGGTTGTCCACGGCGATGTTGGAGGGTGCACAGCATAGTACCTGCGGAACGCATGCTCAGCTGGGCTCCGGGGCAGGACCCACGCACACCAGCTCATCACCCCACAGAGACCCGGGAGCAGCAGTGGGCAGTGGGTGGCCCGCCTCCCCATGCCCGGTGCTGCCCTTCCTTCCCCCGCTGCGGGCCACAGGTGGCCTGCACAGCAGGTGACCATGGGCTCATGTGGTACACCAAAACAGAAGCCAGCCAGGAAACCCACGTCCCATGAGTAAACCCACAGACTCAGCCAATAGGAAAGGCGGAGGAGGCCGGTGGGAACGGAGAGGCAGCTTTCCCTGACCTCCACCCATCCACTCCTGGTTTCTGCTGCTCCTCGCTAGGCCACAGAGCCCCTGACCCTGACCCTGTTTCTGGGGCCACCAAGAGTCCCCACCCAGTGGGGTTGTGAGGATTACTGCAGGGGTTCACCGCCCACATCCCTACGGCCCGCTCCTGCTGGTAACAATACTGCCACGGACAAGGTTCTCTCCTGGCCATGAGCAGTGACATGGACAGTGTGCAACGCCCTTTCCAGGTGTGTGCACGCTTGATCAGTTCACTGCATGCACGGAGTACTGGGGCTGCACAAGGCCCTTCGCCAGCCCTGGCACCTCTGCACCCGCAGTGTGGGCCTGCCGGGGAGTGTGTGCGTGGGCTAGGCCGTGGCCCCAGCGTGCCCCCTGCTCAAGGGGCCAGGGGAAATCAGGAAAGGCTGGGACCCTGTTGAGCACTGGTCTACAGGCCAGACCAGCCGCCCACAGGCACGAGGAAGCCGTAGGCTGCCCACCTTCGACCCCTGCTTCACCACTTGGAGGATTATTTCCACCACGGTTGTGGTTTTCCCAGTGCCAGGAGGTCCGTGGATGATGGCGAGTTCTTTCTGGGCCAAGGCAAAGGACACAGCTTCCTTCTGGGAGGCGTCCAGGGCGGGGTTGTAGAACGTCAGCGGGGCTGCAGGAGAGGGTCAGAGTGAGGCCACCTGCCCAGGGGGACAGGAACAGCCTGTATCAGGAGTATCCAGGGCTCCCGGGGCAGGCCAAGCAACTCGGAAACAATCTGTACACTGCCAAAAGACCCCCCCCCCAAGCCAGGCACCGGTGGCTCATACCTGATATCCTAGCTACTCAGGAGGCTGAGCTCTGAGGATCACAGTTCAAAGCCAGCCTGGGCAGGAAAGTCCATGAGACTCTTATCTAATAAACCACCAGAAAACCAGAAGTGGGGTTCTGGCTCAAGTGGTAGAGCGTTTGCCTTGAGTTCAAGCCCCATGACCAACAAGAACAACAAAAAGACTCCCTCTAAAACAGGACCAAGTGTGCACCTGCTGCGTGCACACAAGTTTGCTGGGGAGTAGACATGTATATATGTGTATATGCTAGTATACAGAAATGTGTATATCTGTGATTTGTGTGTATACGTAACATAGATGTAATAGATGTAATATGGGGCTTGGTGGGGAGGTTGAAGAAGAGAGGGAAAAGGAAGATGGAGGGGATAATGTGTAAATATATCACAACTACGCATGAAGATGGCATCGGGAACTTCAGGGAAAGCCGCGGGCCAGATGGCTGGGAAGGGGAGAGAGCTCAGCAGGAAGGGGGGAGGGGCATGGAGAGGGGGGAGGAACACCCAGAGGGGGGGAGGGGAGGAAGTGGAGCGAGAGCAGCAGAGGCACATCTGAAAGCCATGGCGTAATTAATATACACTTGAAATACATCTAGAGAACAAAGTAAAACCAGCTCAGGTGTGGAGAGAGCGCAGCAGGAAGGGGGGAGGGGCAGGGAACAGCTGACACTAAGCAAAAGGAAAGAAATGTAAACATCACCTGATATGGAAGAAATACTGTATTGTCAAAGCTCACAGAATTCACAAACTGTATAGACCATGATACTGACAACTGGCCTTGTGAAGGTTAAAATGTGTTTGTGACTTTCACTAAGTATCACTATTCCACAATACTGTGAAATATGTGAAATTTATGTAATCACCTAATCTCAATTTTAAAAAAAGTGGGAGAAGGGATGGGTTAGGAGCGATGGGTGACAATGTTGCCAGACACCTTGTATTCGTAGACTGTTTTGTAGAGTGGGAACTTCTTTGTACAGCTACTTCAAGATAATAATAATTCAAAAAATGTAAATAAAAAAAAGTAAAACCAGCTCAGGTGTGGAGAGAGAGCTCAGCAAGAAGGGGGAGGGGCATGGCAAGGGGGAGGGACACGGAGAAGAGAGGGGGAGGGGAGGAAGTGGAGAGAGCGCCCCAAGAGGACACATGAGGAAGTGCACTCAGCTGTGCGAGAACAAAACTGAAACCTCTGGAAATTGCCAATTGCCGTAAGGGGGAACGGGATGGAGGCAAGGCTGGGCTGGATGGACTGTGTGCATGTATGGAAATGTCACAATGAATCCCCCTTGTACAACCAACGAATATTAATTTTTTTAGTCTCCGCATTAGAAAGGACATCATTGGTCAGACATGGTGGTGCCTGCCTGTAATCCCAGCTACTTGGGCAGCAGGGACAGGACGCCCACAACTCTGAGGCCAGCCCTAGAAAAGGCCTTGTGAGGCCCTTTCTCAAAAGCAAAATAAAAATCAAATGGCCGGGAGCGCAGCTCAAGTGACAGACCCTTCGTGTGCAAGGCCCTGGGTTCAACGTCCAGCACAGGAGAAAACAAGATGGAGAAAAAAAACAGAGTGAGAAAGAGAAAAAAGAAAAGAAGGAGAAAGCAGACAGGAAGAGAGAGGGGAAGGGAGGAGAGAGGACAGGAAGGAAGGAGAGGGTCGGAAGATGAGCTGAGCTGTCTCTTCAGGCTAGATGTTCACACAGGGAGACAGACTTGTTCACACCAGGAATTCAGACTTGAAAGCAAAGGTGTGAAACTGCACACTCTCAAGTCTCTGCTGAGGCAGCCCAAGGTCACGGTGCCCTTGATCATTTCGGAAGCCATTGCTCACATGTTTCACTGGCAGGACTGGGAGCAGCTCCACCGAACAGGACCTCTATGAGCGAGGACGCGGGCCCGGAGTGGTACTTCTTCAGGAAGAGCAGCGCACTGCAAGAGAGGAGAGCCCAGGTGAGGGGCGGGGCGGGACCGGGGCCAGGCTCTCCCCCGAGGGCGCACAACCACCCCTGACCAGAAGGGGTCAGCACAAGCACGGAAAACACCCCGTGGGACTCCCACGTACTTCTTGAGTCGCTTGTAAGTGACGTCGTTGGCAAGCTTTAGCAACCTGTAGGAAGCTTCAGGGTCCAGGTTCAACTGGAAGTCATGAGACTCATCAAAGGCCACCGTGACTGACCTCTGGGTGACTCGAGTCAGGACCCCGGTGGCAAGCTGACCATCCTGGTTCCCAGAACCGTACAGGCCCACGATATCGCCTGCAAAAAGCAAAAACTCAGCTGCACACAACACTGAGAAACGCTAAACGTTATTATAGTGTGGTAAGTCCTGGCACATTTCAGATGCACATTACTTTCTCTGTCTTTCTTTCTTTGCAATGCTGGGGACAGAACCCAGGGTTTCCGAAGGCTAGGCGAGCACTACCACTTGAGCTATTCCTCTCTCTTGACCTCAGAAGTTAAAAAAAGAAGTAGAAAAAAGCCAGGAAGGGCTGGGAAGGTGGCTCAGTGGTAGAGTGCTTGCCTAGCATGCATGAAGCCTTGGGTTCGATTCCTCAGTACCACATACACAGAAAATAAATTTTTAAAAAATTCAAAGAGAAAAAAATATTAAAAATAAATAAAAACAAGCTGGGCACCTGTATCTCACACCTGTAATCCTAGCTACTCAAGAGGCTGAGGTCTGATGATCACAGTTTAAAGCCAGCCCAGGCAGGAAAGGCTTTGAGACTCTTATCTCCAAATAACCACCAAAAAACCGCAAGTGGCGCTGTGGCTCAAAACAGTAGTAGAGTGCTAGTCTTGAGCACAAAAGCTCAGGGACAGCTCCCAGGCCAAGTTTAAGCCCCACGACCAATAACAACAAAAAAAACAAGTCAAAATAAATGCTGACCTAACACCTAAGTCCCCCATGTGTGGGAATATAGTTGAGGATGAACTATTACAAACAAGCACTACAGCCAATCCGATCCTTAAGATGGTGTACATGGACACAGAAGATCTCATGGACACAAGGACTGCACCTCAGCAGAGGTGCAGCCCAGTGGGCCTTGTGCAGAGCCCTTGACTCTCTCCAGCTAGACAAGACATCTCAGAGGGCACGGGGCTACAACGGCACTGAGTAAGCAGCCCAGAAGGCAGAGCCGAGAAATAGAGAGAACTGTCCTGGTGCCCACCGAAGCCAGTGTGTGCGTTACAATGGCCAGTGTGACTAGCTCGGGCTGGAGTGTGCATTACAATGGCCGGTGTGACTAGCTCGGGCTGGAGTGTGCGTTACAATGGCCGGTGTGACTAGCTTGGGCCGGAGTGTGAGTTGCAATGGCCCCAGTGTGACTAGCTCAGGCCAGTCTGTCCAAGTTTCCATCACCTGGAGCAGAGGCCATTCCCATGGAAGCAGAATCCACTGTGAGACAAAAGCTAGACCACCCAACTCTGTTCACACCCTGAGCCCTCACCTGCATCTACACCTGGAGCCTTAGCCTGGGGGTCAGAGGAAGGTTCTGTGGGAGGAGCCAGGCCCATCACCAGCGGAGCAGAGGACCCCGTACCTCCTGAACCCTCCCCCGACCCTGCCCTGTCCAGGACTTCACATTTCAGGCTTTGTGATTGTGAGTCACGGAGACTGGAAACTGCCCAGATGAGCCCGTGGCCACACCTCTGATCTGCTCCTGGCGCTGTCTCCGCTGCCTGCCTTCCCACCCACAGGCTGCCTCTGGCATCCAGCCAGCGGGCCCTCACTGACCTCCGGTCTGTCTCCACACGCTTTCAGAACAGATCTGGAGCTTCACCTCAGTTTTCGGTGCTCACCAGCCCTGCATTCACTCAGTCTTGCTCCCTTCCTCCTGATGGAAAAGCCGCAAGCACGCCCGCTCCCATCATCCCTCCAGCAGTCTCCCGCGTGCTCTTCCTTGCTCCTCTCATCTCATCTCCTCCAGCCAGGATTCCAACCATTGCAGGGACGAGGGTGGATAAATCAAACTACAACACCAGCCCGGCACTGGTGGCTCACGCCTGTAATCCTAGCTACTCAGGAGGCTGAGATCTGAGGATCGCGGTTCAAAGCCAGCATGGGCGGGGAAAGTCCATGAGACTTTTTTTTGTTGATTGTGGGGCCTGAACTCTGGGCCTGGGTGCTGCCCCTCAGCTCTTCAGCTCAAGGCTAGAGCCCTACCACTTGAGCTATAGCACCACTTCCAGCTTTTTTCTGCTTATGTGGTGTTGAAGAATCAAACCCAGAGCCTCATGCATGCAAGACAAGCGCTCTACCACTGAGCCAACTTCCCAGCCACTCCATGAGACTCTTATCTCCAATTAACCACCAGAAAACTGGAAATGGCTCTGTGGCTCAGTGGTAGAGTGCTAGCCTTCAGTACAAAAAGCTCAGGAACAGTGCCTACGCCAAGTTCAAGCCCCAGGACCCGCACAAAAACCCTCGAAACACTGTAACCACCTAAATAAGGCAGAGCACAAAAACCCTGGAAACACTGTAACCACCTAAATAAGGCAGAGCCGCTGAGGGTAGAAGCACGCACCAGCAACATTGCTGTCTGGGTTTCCAGGGCTGAGGGTGTCGAAACAGCAGCCCCCATGTGTGGTCCAGAAGCTTCCTCTGGCCTGGGGTAAAGGGCTTGACCAAAATGCTCAGAGCCCTGGGTTTGATCCCTGGCACTGCAAAAGCTAAACTGCCTTTCTTTTCCAGCAGGGCCAGCAGGAGCTGAGCCAAAGCAGGCTTGGCAGAAACGTATCTATAATACAAAACTGTACAGACCTCACATCCAGCAATCTACACACAGCAGGCTGTCAACTCTACAGAGGTACAAGGTCGTTTAATTTTAAGCTTTCTGGTAGCCATATGAAACCATTTAAAGGAAACAGAATATACAGCCAGGCTCCAGTGGCTCACGCCTATAATCTTAACTAGGCAGAAAGCTGAGGTCTAGGATTGAGGTTCTAAACCAGCCCAGGCAGAAAAATCTATCAGATTCTTATCCCTAATTAACTGCCAAAAGGCCAGAAGTAGAGCTATAACTCAAGTGGTAGAGCACCAGTCTTGGGAGAAAAAGCTAAAAGATAACACCAGGTTGGGTTCAAGCCCCAGTATCAACACAAAACCAAACAAAAACCCAGAATACACAGCCCTGATTGAGGCCCTGGTAAACTATGGACTTAGGTGACAATGATGTCACTGAGGGTTCACAGGCTGTAAGGAAGGCACTACTTGGGTTAGGGACACTGATGCGGGAGCTGTGCACGTTGGAGGACAAGGCATATGAACCTTCCACTCAATTTGCTTTTAATAATCACTGCACATAACCTAATATATGCACAACATCATTTGGGCTTGCTGTCAATGTTCAACACAATGACTCTTTGGTTGCTCCCACGCACGATACGTGAGTCTGGAGACCTGGTGTATATGTTACATTTGCAGCAACAGCTGGCTGCAGGTCATGTTCTCAAACCACTAGGGCTAGATAAATTGTGGGACTCCTGGGTAAGAGAAGAATGCTTTGCACTCTGGCTGGGCCCTCCATCCAGTCAATTTTTGGTTGTTTTTTTTTTAGTTTTCATTTACTTAATTTTATTTTTGTGTATGTGGTACCAACGAATTGAACCCATGATCTCAAGCATGCTAGGCAAGCACTCTACCACTAAACTACCTTCCCAGCCCAGCCGCTGTCCAGTCTTTGGGAGAACCCGTGCAGGTACTGTTTCTGGTCTACACATACCGGAAGAGAAGCTGTTGCTGGGAAGGCCTGTGGCAGACCCGCCTCGCCCCGGCTCGAAGGTGACCAGAAGCTGTCCATACAGCCCCGTGCGCTGGCTGGCCAGCTGCAGCTTTAGCAGACACACGCCCCTGCTCTGGAGCTCCTTCAGAGAGCTGTTCTCCTGCCAGGCCCTGCAAGACATCCGGTACCCACACTCCAGTGCTCAAATCCTCACCAGTTTCTCCCTCTGCCCACAAAGGCAAAGGAAAACAAAGATCCGTGTGCTAAATAGGCCCCACGGGAACTCAGAACCTGCTCCCTCCCAAACCAGCTCCTCCTGCTGCCCCTAGGGCTCCTCCACCTGTTACCCCAGATCTTTGTCGCTGGGTTTCCCCAGCCAGCCACCAGTACCAGCAGCCAGGCAGTCCCCAGATGCTGATCACTTCCCTGGCCTGCTTGGCCGGGGCCTGGCTGTGCCCACAGCACAGCACGTGGGCCCACAGCACAGCGGGGCCTGGCAGGTCTCCTCCGCGAGGTGAGGCACAGCCACCATCCTGGCTGCTAACTCCACTAGCAACGGCACTCAGCGCTTGACTCAGAGCCAGACGTTTATTCTCAAAGCAAAATGGGGGGGGGGGGCCCATTCCACAGATGAAGTAAGACAAGGCGGAAACCCATCGCCCACGACCAACCCACACCTGACCCCAAGTCCCGACTCCGCCGGGGCCCCTGGGGACCCTTACTCAAACCTCTCCATCTCTGAAATGACAGGGCCAGAGGCGGCTCGGGGCTGTGGACCGTGGACCTGGCTGAGGCGAATGCCCACCCCCAGAAGCGAGCCCGGGCGCCGCCGGCTCCCCCGTGCCCGGGCCCCTCCCCGGGCCGCCCCGGGCCCCGCCGGCTCCCCCGTGCCCGGGCCCCGCCGGCTCCCCCGTGCCCGGGCCGCTCCCCGGGCCGCTCCGGGCCCCGCCGGCTCCCCCGTGCCCGGGCCCCTCCCCGGGCCGCCCCGGGCCCCGCCGGCTCCCCCGTGCCGGGCCCCGCCGGCCCCCGCCGGCTCCCCCGTCCGTGCCCCGGGCCCCGCCGGCCCCCGCCCCTCCCCGGGCCGCGCTCAGGCCCCGTCCTGCGGGAGTCACCCGGTCTCCAGCGGCCCCCGCGCCGGGCCGGTCTGGAGCCCGCGCCGCTCGCACCTGCGCTCCTGCAGCTCCGCGTCCCTCTCGAGGCTCAGCAGGGACAACTGCTTGGCCACGAAGTCCTCCACCGCCGCCGAGGCCATCGCCGCCGCGGGCCCGGCCCGCCTGCACGCCGCGGGCCGTATCCCCGCCGGCCCCGTGCGTCGACGCACGCGGCTCCCGCCTCTTCCGCTTCCGGGTCAGGCGGCGGGCAAGATGGCGGCGGCGGCGGTGGCTTCGGCGCTGGCGGGCACCCTGGGGCGGCTGGCGCGCGCGGGCGGCCGCAGCGTCCGGGCTCCTTCGCGGCCCGGGGCCGGTGAGACCCGGGCGCCCCGGGCGGGGGGGAGGGCGGGGTGCGGCGGGCGGGAGTCGGCCCCCGGCCCCCGCCGCGTCCCCACGTCCCGGAGGCCCGGAGCGGTCAGGCGGCCACGCAGCGGGGCCGGGCGCAGCCTGAGCGGGCCCCGGCCCGCCTCCCCCGAAGGCGGAGGCCTCCCCCGAGCCGAGGCCTCGCGCGCGCCGGACTCCGGCGAGCCGGACTCCGAGGCCGCCGGGCTGGGGGACTCCGGCGAGCCGGACTCCGAGGCCGCCGGGCTGGGGGACTCCGGCGAGCCGGACTCCGAGGCCGCCGGGCTGGGGGACTCCGGCGAGCCGGACTCCGAGGCTGCCGAGGAGGGTCCGCATTCTGCCCGCCTCGGCCGCCGGGCTGGGGGGCGGCTCGGGGGCGGCGCACGGGGGCTAGGCTCCGAGTTCAAACCCACCAGCAGCCACGGCAATGCCGCGGAGTCGCGGACAGGGAGGGAGGGTAAGTAGGCAGAGCACAGAGGACTTGTAGGGCTGTGAAGTTTCCTCCGGGACCGCAGTGGTCGGTGCCCGTCATTGACAGATCCATAGTCCACACAGCCCTAGAGAGCCCTGAGGTAGACTCTGGACTGCTAGGCGCACCGCTCAGGGAAGGGGACGTTGTTAGTGAAGGGCTGATAAAGTATTTTAGAAATAACCATAATCGGGGGTAACATTGTCCAAAAGAGAAATTACACACTACCTGAATTATGCAATTATAATCCCTCTCTACACACCTTAATAAAAATTATACACTTAAAATGCCAGGCGCTGGTGGCTCACGCCTGTCATCCTAGCTACTCTGGAGGCTGAGATCTGAGGATCACCTTTCAAAGCCAACCTGGGCAGGGAAAGTCGGTGAGACTCTAAACCACTCAGAAAACCAGAAGTGGCACTGTGGCTCAAGTGGCAGAGCACTCGCCTTGAGCTGAAGAGCTGAGGGCCAGCACCCAGACCCAGAGTTAAGGCCCCACAACCAACAAAAAAACAAAAAAGCATAAGCACAGAATTGAGCCAGGTGTCAGTAACTGTTGAGTTGAAAGAGAATTTACTCCACACCCCACCCTGCATTCTCAGCAGCACTGAGGTTTGAACTCAAAGCCTCCCACTTGGTAGGCAGGTGTTCTACTGCTGAACCATGCCTGCCCCTCTTTTTTGCTTTAGTTATATATTCTCAGTAAGGGTTTCCAGCTTTTTCCCCAGGGCAGGCCTTCGACCTCCATTCTGTACTTGGCCTCTCAAGTAGCTGAGATCCTAGGGGTGTTCACCACCTTATCCCGCCATATTCTGTGTACTTTTGATACTTGACACTTTTGGTAATAAAACTTAAGTTTTAGTAGACAGGGACATTTTTCTAGAAGCTGTGGGACTTTCCTTGTTCTGGCATAAATCAGATGCTGGGTTAAGTCCCAGATGCCCAGGGAAAGGCGGAGTGAGGACAGAAATGGTGACCAAAAAGTGAAGAGGGGTAAAGGACCCAGGGTGGACAAACAGTCCACAGGCTCCCAGGAGCCCAAAGGGTGATGCGCTCTCCGTGGAGCCTGGGCAAAGCGAAGGCCCTAGGTTTGGGTTACAGGAAGAGCAAATTGGTTGCAAGAACTTTCTCCCTAAGCCCTCACCAGCACAGGGCTGTCAGGACAGGTTCCAAATCCCTGATCCCTGGAGTGATGGCCTGGCAGAGCCTTTGTCTCAAAACCATTACTGCCCCTGTCACCTGTCACTGCTGCTTGTGCTTTGATGGAGCTGATGGGGGAGAGAGTCAGGCAGTTTTGTAAAATAACACACTTGGTGTATTTGAAAACTAATAGGGCTTATGGAGAGTAAGAAAGCATGAATTGGGGTGGGAAGGGTTTGGCTTGTTTGGTTAGTGGGTTAGCAGGTAGACTTTGAATGTGGGTCTTAGCTTGATGGATGATTTATGGGTGTGAGCCACCTCCTTCAGCTGTTAGTTTTTTGTGACAGTGTCTCCCTCTATAGTCCAGGTTGGCCTGGAACTCATAATCTTCCTTCCTCTAACTTCTAAATACTGGAATGCAGAGGCAGGAAGATGGGTATTATAGGCGTACACCACCACATTCAGTGGGATTCAACTTTTATGTCTGGGGAAGACCTCTATCCTGCGGTGGTACTTGGTGGACACCCAAAGGAAATGAGGGGACGAGTTTTTGGGGACCTGGTGAGGCAGAGGGAGGCAATGTTCCAGCCCAGGGAGAGGCCCTGCAGGCCCCACCATGACCAGGAAGTCAGAGGGACAGGGGCAGGTGAACCAAACAGATGGAGAGATGGAGCCACTGGTGTTAGAGGACTTGGCATTTTCACTGAGTGAGGTGGAAGCTGCTGGAAGGTTCTGGCCACAGCAGGATGTGAGCTGATTTTGTTGTTGTTGTTTGTTTTTGTCAGTCATGGGGCTTGAACTCTGGGCTTGGGCACTGTCTGTGAGCTCTTCAGCTCAAGGTAAGCACTCTACCACTTGAGCCACAGCTCCACTTCCAGTTTTCTGGTGGTTTATTGGAGATAAGAGTCTCACAGGGGGCTGGAAAGGTGGCTCAGTGGTAGAGAGCTTGCCTTGCATGCCTGAGGCCCTGGGTTCGATTCCTCAGTACTACATAAGCAAAAAGAAAGAAGCTGGAAGTGGTACTGTGGCTCAGGTGGTAGAGCCCTAGCCTTGAGCTAAAGAGCTGAGGACAGCGCCCAGGCCCAGAGTTCAGGCCCCACAACTGGACCTCCCTCACCCCCCCCTCCCCCCCCCCCAAAAAAAAAGAGTCTCAAAGCCTTTCCTGCCTGGGCTGGCTTTGAACTGAGATCCTCAGATCTCAGCCTCCTGAGTAGCTAGGATTATAGGTGTGAGCCACCAGAGTCCAGCCCTGACTGATGTTATAGAAGCCCAAAGCCCCCCGTGCTGTTCGTTGGGGTCCCTGGTGAGGTTCCTTCTGGCGCATGCCTGAGCTTTCAGGCGGTGGTGGGTGAAGAGCGGGGTTGGTGCGGCCCTGGGTCTGGCCTGTGCGTCTCACGGTGATGGACGTGTTTTCTTGTCCCTCAGGCTCCCTCTGGTCTGCCACACGAAGGAACAGCTCGCAGAGCGCCCCGTTTCCACCTGGGTAATACCAAATGTGGGTTTGCTGATCCCCTTCCTCTCGAGAACTTTCTCAACATTGGGCTTCCTATGGTGGGGTCTGGGTTTGAGCTTTTCACTTCAGCTTTTTGGGCCATAGTTTTCTGAGCCCTCCGTAGAGTGGAGGCTGTGGAGGCGCAGGCCGCGGTGCCCAGGCCACATCACCAACGGGAAGCCTAGCCACTCAGGGTTTCTAGACAGAGAAAGCATATCCCTCGTTAAGATGCCAGGCTTAGAAAAGGTTAATGTAACAGAATTGGAGCAGGTCACAGCCAGGGGTAGGGACAGGCCGGAAGCGCAGGGGGCTGTGGTGCTCTGCTGTGGCCTCACAGCCACGGGTGCCACCGGGCCGGCCAATGTCTGCAGCCAGGGACACCGAGTCACTGGCCCTCACCTGCTCCTGGTGGAGGCCATAGGTACCGATCCAATGGGGCTTGAACGTCCAGCAAAGGAGAATGTTTAAATAGTTCACAGTGCTACGGTGGGGCTGGGAGGCCCCAGTTCCCATGCAGAGCTACAGAATGAACACACAGGCCAGGCACTGGTGGCTCACACCTGTAATCCTAGCTACTCAGGAGGCTGAGATCTGAGGATCATGGTTCAAAGCCAGCCCAGGCAGAAAAGTCCGTGAAACTCTTATCGCCGATAAACCTCTAGAAAACCAGAAATGGCGTTGTAGCTCAAGCAGTAGAGTGTTCACCTTGAGCTGAAGGACAGCTCCCAAGCCCAGAGTTCAAGCCCCACGACCGACCAAAAAAAAAAAAAAAAGAATAGACACATGGCTCTGCAGCACTGGCACAGGCTTCTGATGGAACCCGGTGTCTCAGCTCTCAAAAGGAGAAGTTAGTGCTGATGTTACCAGGGCCTGTTTTCCTGACATTTCTGCAAAGCTCTCTCTGCTCATGGTCTTCATCTGGCCCTGGACCCCCCAGTCCAGGAGGCTGAACAGGGAAGACTTCTAAAGAACAGCTTCTGAAGCCAGGCGCTGGTGGCTCACGCCTGTCATCCTAGCTTCTCAGGAGGCTGAGATCTGAGGATCGCAGTTCAAAGCCAGCCCAAGCAGGAAAGTCCACGAGACGCTTATCTCCAGTTGACTACCAGAAAACCAGAAGTGGCGCTGTGGCTCAATTGATAGAACACTTCTCCTTGAGCTGAAGAGCTTAGGGACAGTGCCCAGGCCCAGAGTTCAAGCCCCACAACCAACCAAAAAAAAAAAGCTTCTGAGCCAATTGCAGTACCTCACACCTGTAATCCTAGCTGCTCAGGAGGCTGAGATCTGAGGATCTAAGTTGGAAATCAATCAGAGCAGGAAAAGTTTGTGAGACTCTCATCTCCAGTTAATCAGCAAAAAAGCTACAAGTAAGCCAGGCGCTGGTGGCTCACGCCTGTAATCCTAACTACTAAAGAGGCTGAGATCTGAGGATCATGGTTCAAAGCCAGCCCGGGCAGGAAAGTCCGTGAGACTCTTACCTCCTGTAAACCAGTAGAAAACCGGAAGTGGTGCTATGACTCAAGCGTTAGAGTGCTCGCCTTGAGTTGAAGAGCTGAGGGACAGTTCCCAAGCCCAGAGTTCAATCCCCATGACCAAAAAAAAAAAAAAAGCCACAAGTAGAACAGTATATCAGGTAGTAGAGCTCCAGCCTTGAGCAAAAAAGCTTAGGGTCAGCGCGCAGACCCTG